CCCCCCTTATCTTTTACTGTATGGGTGAACTTTTATTATTACATTTTTATTTTTACCTTTTAAATTATTTTTATGTATATTATTTTTATGTATTTATTATTATTAGTATTATTATTATTATGTATTATTATTATGTATTATTGTTATCATTACGTATTCTTCTTCTTCCCTCCTCCTCCCCTCCCTCCTCCTCCTCCTCTTCCTCCTCCTCCTCCTCTTCCTCCTCCTCCTCCTCCTCCTCCTCCTCCTCTTCTTCCTCCTCCTCCTCCTCTTCTTCTTCCTCCTCCTCCTCCTCCTCCTCCTCTCCCTCCTCCTCCTCTTGCCCTCCTCCTCTTGCCTCCTCCTCCTCCTTGCCTCCTCCTCCTCTGCCCTCCTCCTCCTCCTCCATTTTTGGGAACAAGTTTGAAGAGCTTGTAGTTCATAATCACTATCATTATCATCACCATTGCTCAAAATCTGAGTCTGGGATTTGGAAAATAGGAGTTTCCTCTTTGATTCTGGTACACTGAACGGACGGCCCAGCACCAGGGTGGAAGGCTGTGGGTTGTCTGGGTTTTCCTCACTATTACCCATATTATGGTCATTAGTTTCGGTCAAAACCTCACCAGAACCTTGAAACTCATCTTTCACTGTCACTTCCATCTGTATTAGAACGTCACTGGGAACAAAAGTGCCCCAATTCGCCGAGGAGTGAGGAACTTCTTACCGCAGGGCACGGTGGAAATTGTGTACTATGATGGCATTCCCACAATGCACCACTGGGTCCCAGATTTTTTTCCTACTGCGCACACCCACCACACAGACCCATTCTCTCACATCTAGGCTTATCAGCCTTTTCCTGCGAGATTTGAGGCCGCTAGAATTTATGCGTACTAGTACGTCAAAAACCCCTACGCGTAAGACGTACTAGTACGACCAAAACCCTCAAAGGGTTAAAGTAGGAAAGCATTGAACTTTGCCTCATGGATTTTTTTTTCCTTTCCCTTAAAATTTCTTTATAGCATGTAACATCATGGGAAAGGGATGCATTCACTGTTGAACTTCATTCAAAATTTGGATCAATCTTCTCAAAAATTGCCATTGCTATTTCTATATGGTTGATAGCTTCTTCCAAATCCTGGGTTTTCATTTCTTTAATGGTAACAGGACTATCATCAGGATGGATCTCCTCTTCATGAAATTTCTTTCTTTGCTCTTCAATCAGAAGAAGGTCTTGGTCTGTCAGAGCCTCATCATGAGAGAGAAGCAATACTTCCACATCCTCAGGCTCCACTTCCAGTTCTAATTCCCTTGCCATATCAACAACATTTACACACACTTCCCCCACTGGATTCTCAAAACCTTCAAAATCATCCATAAGTTCAGGAATCAGATTCTTCCAAACACCTTTGAGCGTAGTTTCTTTAACTTCATTCCATGTATCTCTAATATTTTTAATACCAACCAAAATTGTGAAACCTTTCCAAAAGGTTTTTAATTTATTTTGTTTAGGTCCTGGCATTTTATCACTGTCTAGGAAATTTACAGCCTTAATGAAAGTTCTTCTTAGGTAATAAGATTTAAAGACTGCAATTACACCTTGGTCCATCGGCTGCAGTAATGAAGTTGTGTTTGCAGGTATAAAAGCAACATTTATCTCCCTGTACATACCATGTAGAGCTGTAGGGTGGGCAGGGGCATTGTCTAAAACAAGTAAAACATTAAAAGAAATATTCTTTGCCTTGCAGTAAGCCTCAACTGTAGGCTTAAAATAGTCCATGAGCCAACTTATATAAAGATTGGCAGTCATCCAAGCTTTCAAATTAGATTTATAATAAACAGGGAGGCTGCCTTTTGCATAGTTCTTTAGGGCCCTAGGATTCTCTGAGTGATAAATCATCATAGGTTTTAACTTGCAGTCACCAGCTGCATTAGCTCCTAGCAAGAGCGTTAGCCTGTCTTTTGCAGCTTTGAAGCCAGGTATTGACTTCTCTTCCTTAGCAATAAATGTCCTAGATGGCATCTTCTTCCAAAATAATGCAGTCTCATCCACATTAAAAATCTGTTGCTTGGTATATCCACCACATTCTATTATCTCGGCTAGTTCACGTGGATAATTTTCTGCAGCTAAATTCTCAGCGCTTGCAGCTTCACCCTGCACTCTGATGTTGTGAAGTTGACTTCTTTCCTTAAACCTATTAAACCAGCCTCTGCTAGTTGAGAATTTATCTTCAGCAGCTTCCTCCCCTCTCTCAGCCTTCATAGAATTGAAGAGACTTAGGGCCTTGGACTGGATAATGGCTCTGCTTAAAGGCACATTGTGACTAGTCTGATCATCAATCCACACCATTAAAAGTTTTTCCATGTCAGTAATAGGGCTATCATGTTTTCTTATAACTTTAGTGGTCACTGGTGTAGCACTTTTAACATCCTGCAACACTTTCTCCTTATTGTTCACAACTGTACTAACTGTTTGACGAGCCAAACCAAGCTTACGTGCTATCTCAGACACTGACATACCTTGTTCACTAAGTTTAATAATTTCTAACTTGGCACTTAAAGTAAGAGGCTTACGACTCTTCTTTTTATCACAACTAAGCTTAGATGCCATCGTCAACAAGAGCCAATTAGTTAACGAAGAGCAAACGAGAGAGAACGAGATACATGGAGCTCAGACAGCGTAAAAACACAAACTGAACGGGTGGTGGACGATCACTCGGTCAGGCGAAATAGACAGTATTAATACGTGTCCAGTTTTAGTTCATTCATGTACATTTGTAAGAGTTTGTGAAACTTTTACCTTATAATATTTTTTTTATTATTATAATAATTAAATCACGAAACAAATACTCTTACACTGTGTACAAGTTGTACAAGTTAGTACAGAATAATAAACAGCAACACTCCTATTCTCATGCAACACACCATTTTTAGAGTGAATGATGATATTATTATTATTATTATTATAATCATAATAAAAAAGAAGTGCTAGACCCACAAGGGTCGTGAATAGCTATAAAGTGAAGGCATACGAAAGGAATATTTTTCTACAGTTATCCCTAGTAACAGGTGACGGACTAGAGAAAACGTAATTCTTCCGACACTTCTACAAACTGTTTGGTAAACATTTCATATTTGTATAAATTTTTATACTGTGGGTGCATGTATCATGTTTGTGTGTTACATAATGTGTTTCTTATATAATTTTGAAAAAAATATAGATTAAGGGAAATGTCTATATTAACGTAATATGCGACATTAATGCACCCAAGAGATTATTATTATTATTATTATTATTATTATTATTATGGCATGAAGAGTAGAGAGACTCTTAGTGATTTTAATGTGTACTTGCATGCCAATACAGTGTGTAAATTTATTTAGGTACAGGTGTACACAAGTTTAATTATCAAGTACAGTACATATAAAATATACAATAACTTTAAAACACTTGAAATTTTGGAAAGTTTCCAGACATAATAAGGAGATGTGCTCAGGGAGAATGTAAACAAACTGGGTGGGCCGCTGTGACCGTATTAGAAAGACAGGTGGGGGAGCCGTATAGCGAGTTTTGGTCATAATTTGAAATATCCGTATTAGCGGAATGCCGTAAAGCTAAACGCTGTAAAGCGGGGCCCTACTGTATATGCTTCTAAACTGTTGTGTTCTGAGCACCTCTGCAAAAATAGTGAATGTGTGTGAGTGAGGTGAAAGTGTTGAATGATGATGAAAGTATTTTCTTTTTGGGGATTTTCTTTCTTTTTGGGTCACCCTGCCTCGGTGGGAGATGGCCGACTTGTTGAAAAAAAAAATATGAGATGTCCTAGGTAGTAGGTTGGTAGACAGCAACCACCCAGGGAGGTACTACCGTCCTGCCAAGTGAGTGTAAAATGGAAGCCTGTAATTGTTTTACATGATGGTAGGATTGCTTGTGTCTTTTTTTTCTGTCTCATACACATGCAAGATTTCAGGTACATCTTGCTACTTCTACTTACACTTAGGTCACACTACACATACATGTACAAGCACATACATACACACCCCTCTGGGTTTTCTTCTATTTTCTTTCTAGTTCTTATTCTTGTTTATTTCCTCTTATCTCCATGGGGAAGTGGAACAGAATTCTTCCTCCGTAAGCCATGCGTGTTGTAAGAGGCGACTAAAATGCCGGGAGCAAGGGGCTAGTAACCTCTTCTCCTGTATATATTACTAAATGTAAAAGGAGAAACTTTCGTTTTTCCTTTTTGGCCACCCCGCCTCGGTGGGATACGGCCGGTGTGTTGAAAGAAGAAAGAATATATATATCTTCTTCTTCTTTCTTTCAACGTACCAGCCGTATCCCACCGAGGCGGGGTGGCCCAAAAGAAAAAACTAAAGTTTTTTCCTTTTAAATTTAGTAATATATACAGGAGAAGGGTTACTAGCCCCTTGCTCCCGGCATTTTAGTCGCCTCTTACGACACGCCTGGCTTACAGAGGAAGAATTCTGTTCCACTTCCCCATGGAGATAAGAGGAAATAAACAAGAACAAGAATTAGAAAGAAAATAGAAGAGAACCCAGAGGGGTGTGTATATAAAAATGCTTATACATGTATGTGTAGTGTGACCTAAGTGTAAGTAGAAGTAGCAAGACTTACCTGTAATCTTGCATATTTATGAGACAGACAAAAGACACCAGCAATCCTACCATCATGTAAAACAATTACAGGCTTTCGTTTTACACTCACTTGGCAGGACGGTAGTACCTCCCCGGGCGGTAGCTGTCTACCAACCTACTACCTACAGAAAATATATATATATATATAATAATATATATATATATATATATATAAAAATATATATATATATATATATAATATATATAAAATATATAATATATATATATATAATATATATATATATATATATACACATACATACATACATACATAACACACACACACACCCCTCTGGATATATTTTTATAGTTTTATTTTTATTTCTTATCTCAACAATCATAATCCCCCCAACACCCCCCCGGGGTTTTTTTTTTTTTCAAATAG